GAGTCAGTCAAGAGGAGGAAGCGCAGCGGGGGCGACAGGGTTGTAATGAGACGCTTTGGGCTGCGCTTGTGGGTCTCTAAGTTGGTCGACCCCACCTCCTAATGGTTTGTAGTCCAATGTATCCTTTAAAATCACTGTGTTCCCATAGAATCCTTGAATGTTGTAACCCGAGGCTTGCATTTTTGTTTTTCAGTTCTTTCCCCTTGAAAAATGCTATTTGTATCCTTTCCTTTTGAATATTTAATTCCAGGTTTTTGCACTATGATATTTTACTATATCTTCTTGAGCAGTCCTTTGAAATTTTCTGTTCAGCTCTTTTACTTCATTTGTCTTCCAGGTCCTTTAACTACTCTACATTCAAGAGTAACTTTCATAATCTCTTCTGAAATCCATTTGGCCTTTTCTTTCTTTCTTGTCTTTTTAATGAACTTTTACTTTTATCACGTATGATGTTCTTAATTCCTCTGGTCTTCGATTAGTGTTTAATGTGTTAAATCTGTTCCTCAAATGGTCTCTAAATTCAGGAGATGGTCTCCAAATGCCCAAGGTTGTGTTTTGGACTTGTTTTAGTTTTCTTCAACTTCAAGTTAAACTTGCCTATGAGCAACTAGCTCCTGGCCTTATTTTGGCTGATGATACTGAGCTTTTCCACTGTCTCTTCCTATGTTGTTGTTGTCAGGTGCCATCGAGTCGGAACCGACTCATAGTGACCCCATGCACAGCAGAACGAAACAATGTCTGATCCTGGGCCAACCTCACTACTGCTGCCACACTTGACCCCATCAATGATGCCACCGGGCTGATCCATCTTGTTCAGGGTCTTCCTCTCTTTCTCTAACCCTCCATCTTACCCAGTATGACATCCTTCTCTAGTGACTGTTCCCTCCTGACAATATGTCCAAAGTATGAGAGACAAAGTTTAGCCATCTTAGCCTCCAAGGAGCACTCTGGCTGCACCTCTTCCAAAACAGATCTATTGGTTCTTTTGGCAGTCCATGGCACTTTTAGTATTCTCCTCCAACACCATAATTCAAAGGCATCAATTCTTCTACGATCTTCCTTATTCACTGTCCAGCTTTTGCATCCATATGAGGTTATTGAAAATACCATGGCTTGGGTCAGGCGCACCTTAGTCCTCAAGCTGACATCTTTGCTCTTCAACACTTCAAAAAGTTCCTGTGCAGCAGATTTGCCCAATGCAATATGTCATCTGATCTCTTGACTGCTGCTTCCACGAACATTGATAGTTGATCCAAGAAGAACTTCCTATAGATGTAGTCAATTTGATCCCTGTGTATTCCATCTGGTGAGGTTCATATGTGTAGTCACTGTTTATGTTGCTGAAAAAAAGATATTTTCAATGAATAAGCAATTGGTCTTACAAAATTCTATCATGAGATCTCCATCATTATTTCTATCACCAACACCAAATTTTCTAACTATTGTTTCTTCCTCTTTGCCTCCAACTTTCCCATTCCAGTAATTATCAATGCATCTTGATTGCATGTTTGATCAATTTCAGACTAAAGAAGTTAGAAGAATTCTTCAGTTTCTTCATCATTGGCTTTGGTGGTTGCTGTGTATATTTGAATAACAGTGATATTAACTCGTCTTCCTTGTAGGCATATGGATATTCTCCTACCATAAACAGCACTGCACTTCAAGATAAATTTTGAAACGCTTTTTTTCATGATGAGTGCAACACCATTCCTCTTCAAGTTGTCTTGTCTGGCATAGTAAATCAAATGATTATTCGATTCAAAATTGCCAGTAACAGTTCATTTCTGCCAATGCGTAAGACATCAATCTTTATGCATTCCATTTGATTTTTGACAACTTCTAATTTTCCTAGATTCATGCTTCGTATACTCCACATTCCGATTATCAATGGATGCTTGCAGCTGTTTCTTCTCATTTTGAGTTGTGCCTCATCAACAAATGAAGGTTCAGAAAGTTCTGTTCAATCCGCATCATTAAGGTCAACTTTACTATGACAAGGCAGCTCTTCCCAGTTGTATTCTGAGTGCCTTCCAACTGACAGGCTCATCTTCTAGCACTGTATCAGTGGTCTGCTCTATTCATAAAGTTATGAATGATTTACCTGTCAGAAGTGATCTGCCTCTCCATCCCAGTCTGTCTTAGTCTGAAAGTTCCACTGAAACCTGTCCACCATGGGTGACCCTGCTGGTATTTAAAATACTGGTGGCATAGCTTTCAGGAATACAGCAACACACAAACCACCACAGTACAACAAACTGACAAACAAGTGGTGGAACTCCCTACATTCACTTATCAAAAGTAACTCCAATATATCAAATTATTTTCTGTGGCCAGAAAATGGCACATTTGTCATTCTTAAATTAGGAAATGAAAAGAAAAAAATCATCTAATGAAGGTGGAAATAATTCTAAATATGTTATTTCCTTAGCTAAGAAATATGTTTAAAAATACATCTCACTTGTTTCAACATAAAAGTTTCCTGTTATTATCATAGAGTCAATTCTGGCCCATAGCGACCCTGTATAGGGTTTCTGAGGAGCAGCTAGTGAGCTTGAACCGCCGACCTTGCAATTCAAACTGACTCTGTAGTCTAGCACATTAACCCACAGAGCCATGCCAGGACTCCAATATAGAAGTTAACAGCTAGCTACTCTATAAATGAAAATTTTCTCTTCTTTCTTCTCTTTCAGATAAAATTAAGTTTAAGAAGCCTGGCTATAAAATTTGACTAACAAACATAGTTACTATTAAAGACAGTGCTAAAATAAACTATTTCAGAAGAACCCAAATACTATATGGTGGTGGTGAGCTATGGAGTCAGTTCCAATGCATAGCAACCCTGTGCTTCTCTAACTCTACAACAATAACTAAATTATAGCATTCTCAATTATTTAAAGCATTTCATGACGTATGTCGTTGTTAGGTGCCGTCGAGTCATTTCCAACTTACACCACAACAGAAGAACACATTGCCTGCTCCTGCACCAACCTCACCATTGCCACAGTGTCAATCCAGCTCATTGAGGAGCTGCCTCCCTTTCGCTGACCCTCCACTTTACCAAGCATGATGGCCTTCTCCAGGGACCAGCCCCTCCTAACAACATGTCCAAATTACAAAAGCTGAAATCTTGCCATCCTCACTACTATGGAACATTCTAGGTGTACTTCTTCCAAGACAGCTACGCTTGTTCTGCTGGCAGTCTATGGTACTTTTAATATTCTTCTCCAACACCATAATACAAATGCAACAATTCTATGGTCTTCCTTAAACAGTTTAAAGAGGTCTTTTGCAAGAGATTTGCTGAATATAATACATTTTTTGATTTCTCTGCTGCTTCTATGAACACTGATTATGGATCTAAGCAAAATGTGAAGTCTGACTTCAATCTTTTCTCCATTTATCATATTATTTATTAGTCCAGTTGTGAGGATTTTTGTTATCTTTACATCTAGGTACAATCCATTCTTTTTATCTTCATCAGTAAGTATTTCAAATCCTCTTCACTTCCATCAAGCAAGTTGTTTCATCTGCCTATCACAGGCTGTTTCTTAGATTTGCTCAACATTCAGAATGAGTACATATGGTGTAAGGGTATGACCCTGAAGCATAACTTTGCTGATTTTAATCCATTCAGTATCCCCTTGTTCTGTTTGATCAACTGCCTCTTGATCTATGTATAGGTTTCTCATAAGCACAATTAAGTGTTCTGGAATACCCATTCGTCACAATGTTTGTTATGATCCACAGAGTAGAATGCCTTTAAATAGTAAATAAAGCAGAAGTAAACATCTTTCTGGTATTTTCCGCTTTTGGTCAAGATCCTTGTGACATCAGCAATGATATCCCTAGTTTCACTTCCTCTTATGAATCTGGCTTTAATTTCTGGCAGCTCCATGTACTGTTACAACCATTTTTAATTATCTTCATCAGAATTTTTCTTGCATGCAATAACTGAAATTGTTCATGATTTCCACATGCTGTTGGATCACTTTTTGTGAAGTGGGCACAAATATGGATCACTTCCAGTTGGTTGGTTGAGTAGCTGTCTTCCAAATTTCTTGGCATAAATAGATAAATGAGCACTTCCAGGCATGGCTGAATCACTTTGTTGAAACATTTCAAGTTGTATTCCATCAATTCCTATATGCTGGACAAATTCACGTAATTAAACAAGCAAAGGCAGTAGAAGGACCAGTGATTTTTTTTCAAATTATTAATGTTCATCAAGAAAACTAATTTTTGCATGTTTTTTACCACATAAAGCAGGGTATAAGTTAATCACTGTACAAAAGTAAATAAGAAGAAAAGCAAATATAGTTATTTTATCTAATAAGATAAATATATATCTTCTACTTACATTCGTAAAGGATTAACAATTTCTGTCCTCAGTAGTCCTTGAGTTTCACTATAATATTCTACATCATTCTTTTCTTTGGGTCTAAGTAGCACAGTGTCCAGAACAGAACTAAATGCAAATAAGCTGCAAAATAAAGAGAATATTCTTTATCAAGCTGTAAACATACTATTTCTTGAAAAACAGGTTCCTCCCACGCCTCCCAAAAAAAATTCAGAAGAGAAAAAAAGCAAAGTCAAGCGAATAAATAACATAAAAGTTAGTGTTTTTCCTTAATACAGGCACCCAAGATTCCTGTTAAGATGCTCAGGATTCAATCATCATAACCCAGAGACCCTTCCACATTAAGGAGAATCCAAATATCAAGAAAAGAAGACAAACTATAGACTGACAGTATTATAAGATAAAAATATGCATAGAATACATTAAGAAAGAAAACTTCTTTGCAAAAGTTGAAAGAAGGTCTACAAAGCTTAGTCAAACTACAAATAAACAATAGCTGGAGAGGTTTGGAAACCACTTAGTGAGGCAAGCAGATAGTCAGTGTAAAATCCCCTCTAAAATCATACACTTCTCTCCCCACACCATGTGAGTGACTAATAGCAATAATTTGCTGGCATTGCAGAAAATGAAAATTTGGCTAATCGATTTTTATTATATTAATATAGTGGTGGTAGTTGGTGGTTATGCACCGCAGAGTCGGTTCCGACTCATAGTGACCCTGTACAGGGTTTCTGAGGCTGTAAATCTTTACAGGAGCAGAAAGCCTCATCTTTCTCCCACGGAACAGCTGGTAGCTTTGAACTGCTGACCTTAAGGTTTGCAGCCCGATTTGTAACCACTACGCTACCAAAGCTCCTTTATTAATATAGTAAAGGATATTATATTATATTAATGCTATGAGGCTTACTTTTCTCAACACATCGGAGCAACTGAAAGTATTCTGCCACCCAGTGCCCTGTCACTTTTATTCTTCCACATACTTTCAACATCCCATTAACACCCTAATTCCTAGGACACAGCTGTTCTAACTACCAAGTTACACTCAATTTAACTGGCAGTATACTTGGTTCTAATTTCAAGATTTAAATACTCATGTCAAGTTAGGTTGTTCCACCTTGGAGTAAATTATATGTTATTATTGTTGTTAAGTTCCATCAAGTCGGTCTGATCACAGCTATCCTGTATTGGGTTTCCAAGGAACAGCTAGTGGGTTTGCACCACCAACCTTATAGTTAGTAGTCTAGTGATTATCCTACACCACCACACCACGACTCCATTAACAATATATATGATGTCAACATATATGTTGTTCTACTGAAAACAATTCTCTGACATAAAGTTATGACTGTCTCCACCTAGTAAAAGAAATGCAGTATGATGATAGTTAAGGTTGTGTGTCAACTAGGCTGGATCTGGATTCTCAGTGGTTTGGCAATTAAGATGTAATAATCCCCCAGGATGAGATATGATATCATGTAATCACCCCACAGATGTGATCTGATGTGATCAGCTCTGACCTGATGCAATTATTCTGTGAGCTGTAAATGCTCACTTCTAACATGTTAATGAAGTCAGATGCAATTTACAGAATTAAGTTGAATTTTGAGTCAGTCTCTTTTGAGTTATAAAAGAGATTAAACATGCATGCACAGCAGAGAGGGACCTACTAGCACCAAAAAAGAAGAGCCAGGAATGAAGCGTGTCCTTTGGACCCAAGGTCATTTGCACAGTGAACCTCCTAGATCCAGGGAAAGACTGATGCCATGACACATGGAGATCTCCAAGGAATACTGGGTCTACAGATGCTGAAAGGAGACAAGAACTTTTCTCCAGAGTCGGCACTCTGAATTCACACCTCTTGCATCCTAAATTGTGAGAGAACAAATTTCTATTTGCTAAAGCCATTCATTTGTGGTATTTCTGTTATAGCAACATTAGATAACTGAGGCAGAAATTGGCTCCAGGAGTGGGTGCTACTCTTATAGATACCTAAAACGTGGATGTGGTTTTGGAATTGGATAATGAGTCAAGGCTGGATGAGCATATTACATAGTGAAAGCCTGCAGTGTCGTGTAGAGACCACTGGTAGAATTATGGATGTCAAGACAATCTTGATGAGGTCTCAGAAGGAACTGAGGAGACCTGTAAGCCAGAGATGGCACAGACAGTGAGAAACAAGGGCAGAAAATTGGCAGCAGCAGAATCAAAAGACTGGCATAAGACTGCATGGGAGCCAACCCTGAGTGAGAGAGTCGAGGGCCTTCAGGCCAACGCTTACTGGTGGTGTGGCACCTCTGGGTACTTTTTGGTAGAGGTGAAGAGCTTCGTAACACTTGTTCAAGTGAAGCAGAGGCCAGGCTGTTCTCTTCTAGAGACCAAAGAACCAAGAAGCAGAAGCTGAAGAGAGCTACCTCAGTCTGAAAACATAGGGCTCTCAAAGGGTGGATCCATGGCCTCTGAGATTTCTGTGGGTGGGGCCACAGTTGTCTACGTTTCAGAGTTGGATCTTCCTCTTCAATTTGTTTCTAAAGTGTGGCGTTTGGGATGAGAGTTAAGATGGGGCCTTTGTCCAAAGCTGAGTGGGTGGGTCTGACATGTCTGAGGGTGGGCAGAAAACCAGGGCACTGCCAGGGCTGAAGGGGTGTGGTTACCACTCAGGTGGATTAGGAGAACGGGGCATCCCAAAGCCCTTGAGGCAGAGCTGCCTTTCCAGTGGCCCTGGAAGGCAGAAAAGATGCCCAGGATTGTGGGGCCTCTATCCAGAATGCAGAGTGCATGGTCAACACCCAGAGAGAGTCAGGATACCAGGGCCACCGCCTAGAGGCTATCAGAGAAGACAAGATTATTTTAAAGCATTGAGAGTGAATATATATTGTTCTGCTGGATTTTTTAACTTGCTTAGTGCCTGCTATCCGTCATTTCCCTCTAAGTGCTCTCATTTGTAATGGAAATGTTTACCATATGCCTGTTCCATGATTGTATTAGGAAAACTTGCTTTTTAGATTCACAGATGAAGAGGATGTCCAGGCTGCAATTTGGACCTGGAAGACTCTGGGGATAATATAATGGGGGTTAATGTGTTTTGAACGGTATCTGTATTAGTTGTATCAAGTTAGGAGCAAGTATAAATTTGCAATTGTCTGTATTTACAGATTATGTACAGGTGTACAGGTGCCAAGTTGACAAGAAGTGGACTGTGGTCTTTCAGGCTGTGTCAATTTGGCTGGCTCTGGGTTTTCAGTGGTATGGTAGTTCAGATGTAGTAAGCTCCCATGGTGAGATCTAACATAATCACCTCTGTGACATGATCTGATGTGATCAGCTCTGACCTGATGCAATTATGTTGTGTGCTGTGTAAATCCTCACTTCTGTCATGTTCATGAGGCGCTCTGGTAGCGTACTGATTATGAATCGGGCTGCTAACCTCAAGGTCAGCAGTTAGAAACTACCAGCTGTTCCATGGAAGAAAGATGAGGCTTTCTGCTCGCATAAAGACTTGCAGCCTCGGAAACCCTGTGCAGGGTCACTATGAGTTAGAACCAACTCCACGGTACTTAAAAACAACAACAAATCATGTTCATGAAGCACCAGACTGCAAACCATATGGTCGGCAATTACAACCCACCAGCACAACATCATGTTAATGAAGCCAGAGGCAATCTACAGGATTAGCTTGTATCTTGAGTCAATTCTTTTGAGATATAAAAGAGATTAAAACAGGCAAGCAGAGCTGATAGGGACCTATTGCTGCTGTTAAGTGTACCCTATGTAGGGTTTCTGAGGAGCAACTGGTGAGTATGAACCACCGACCTAGTAGTTCAAACCAATCGCGCATTCCTGTGCTTATCTTACAGTGTCACACATCAAAAAAGAAGAACCTGAAGCGAAATGTGTCCTTTGGACCTGGGGCCCCTGCACTGCGAAGCTCCAAGATCTCAGGAAGGACTGATGCCATGCATGACACATGGAGGTCTTCAAAGAATGCTGGATCTACAGATGCTGAAAGTTTCAGAGATAAGGCCCTTTCTCCAGAGCTGGAAATCTGAATATAGTTCTCTTTAGCAAAGCCACCCATCTGTGGTACTTCTGTTATAGCAGCACTTGATAACTAAGACAAGCACAAACCAGTCAGTGGCTTATCACAAGTCCCACTATTTGATACGTCCACAGCCAGCTGGCTTACTCTCTTCAGTCATACAATTACACAGAAAACCTCTCAATCTGTTCCATTTGTAGCACGATCAATCACCTCTTACTTATCATTCCCTTCATTGTTTTTAATATATAAAATTAATTTTTTAGATGTAGACATAGGAAACAAAATTGTATAGATTCCAAAGAGTATATAAGGGAAAAGCCCTTGTGTGGCACTGGACTATAAGGACTGGCCTGCCAAGCACAAGGTCATCAGTTCAATCCACCAGCTGCTGGAACTGACTCGATGGCACATAGCAACAACAACATATAAGGAAAAGCAAATCTCCTTTTCTCCCCTGATCTCCAGTTCTCCAGCTTCTCAACCAGAGGCAGTTAGCTCCATCTTTCACACACCTACACATACACACATACATCTCCCCACCCCCATGTCTATACTTCCTATTGCATTAACTTGAAACTTACCAAAATAAGGTTGAATCTAAATAACAAGAATTATAATGACCCTGGATCCCTTTCTTTTTTCCAATCATTATCTCTAAACCTTCTTTTTCCATTTTTGGTGGAGTATTTTCTTCTACTACTTCACTTAAGTAACCCCCAAAAGCTGAAAAGATAAAAACAAAAATGAAAGAATTATTTTAAACTATTTTTAAAACGGTTTTCTCCTGAATATTTCATTATTTGTCCAAAGATGTTTCAACAAGTTTAAAAATAACTTTTTCAAAATAATTTTTCACAAATATGGCTCTCTATTTATACCTTCTTAACCTTAAGATAAGGAGCTCTGGTAGCATGGTGGTTACAAATCTGGCCGCTAATCTCAGTCAGCAGTTTGAAACTACCAGCTGTTCTGTGGAAGAAAGATGAGGCTTTCTGCTCCTGTAAAGATTTACAGCCTCAGAAACCCTGTGCAGGGTCGCTATGAATCAGAACCAACTCCATGGCACTTAACAACAACCTTAAGATAAGGAGCTCTGGTAGTATAGTGGTTACAAATCGGGCTGCTAACCTCAAGATGAGGCTTTCTGCTCCAGTAAAGATTTGCAGCCTCGGAAACCCTGTGCAGGGTCACTATGAGTTGGAACCGACTCCACGATACTTAACAACAACAACCTTAAGATGTGTGTGGCACTGTGAGCTAACGCTTCAGACTGCAAATTCATTCAAACTGCAAGGTCGGTGGTTCAAGTTCACCAGCTGCTCCTTAGAAACCCTATACAGAGTCACTATGGGTCGGAATCGATTCGACGGCACTTAACAACAACAACAATCTTAAGATGCTTTACCACTATTACCTCAAACTGGAAAACAGCATCAAGAAACTGCTACCTGTCCTTCAACAGTTGATTTAAAACTTCCTAATTAAAAATAATGCTGATTTCTTGATAAGAGTAAGCTTAGTTAAAAAAAAAAAAAAAAAAAGAGTAAGCTTACTAATGTATTTGAATGATTCATTGAGAGGAAAGTCTGTATCAAAAAGGAAGCCCCGTGTCAATATCTACTTAATATATTGTTGAAAATGGATGACTTAACTGCAACTAACAAAAACAACAATTAACAGGAAGAGAAAAACAAATACTGTTATTTTTCACTTTTTAAGTCCCAAATACTTTTCTTACTTCTTAAAAATTTCCCCTGTAAGACAGTAATGATCAATGAAGCCACTGCAACTTTTTTATACCACAACTGACACTTTGTACTGATTTAAAAGCTTGATAAACATTGGCAAGAAAGCTATTTAAAACAGTCACTGTCACCTACTGCAAAATGAGATGAGCTAGAACTAAAGTCAGTCCAGACTGGTAAACAATTGAAAGGCATCAGATACCTAAAGAGTTACAGCGTTCAATCTGATTGGAGACGGGTTGTAGCGATGCAAACCTAGAATCAGGTCTGCAACTCTTGAGTTTCACAAACAGCGCCTTCTTCAGGGCACAGGTGAAATACCTAGTGCCCTTAAAGGTTCCATCTGTGCAACCAGCACATTCATCTTCCTGGAAAAAAAAATGCTTCGATATGCGTTATTCTGCATCTTGCAAAGATAACAAACAAAGAGATAAGGTTTCTAAGATTTGTTTCTCATTTATCCTCTTCCCAGAATTTTCCCTCTCATGTCTGTATTGAGAACTTCATTAAGAAAAAGGATTTGAAGAATCAGTGCTTTAGCCACAGCTAATGATTTAAGCAATGAATTCTTCAATCCAACATCAAGTCTTCAATATATTTCCTTTCAGAACATACTCATATACTTAAGTCTTCTCTGGCTAACTGTCCTTCCTGTACCATTTCCTACACCATCTCCACAAGCATTAAAACTGGAGGGGAGAGAAAAGGAAGAGGAAGCTATTTATTTTAACAACTCAAAAGGAAAATAGTATTCACTAGCATGGAAACAAACAAAAAAGGAACAAGGAATATATTTAAATAAAAGCTAAATGTACTCAAACTCTCCTCGCTTGACTATGAAATATCAAACAGTATGCTCCCCTAATATCCAGAGGGAAAAATTTTGCAAAATTAGTAATTAATTATAAAGTCAGTGATATAAACAATAGAACTGATGAGGGGTTGGAGACTGAGGAAATAAAGAAAAGGTGCTAAAATTCATCTGCTTCCCTTTCTATATTCTGTTTAAATTGAATAAACCTAATATGTTAGTATAAAAATCAATTTTCATCTCTTAAACCTACATTAACATCAGGAACACAGCGGGTCAGATGTTTGATGAAAGGCAAGGAAAGTCAGTGAAGATAGTACTAACATTATTTTCCTAGCACTCTTTTTTGACAACCACATAGAATTTAGTCAGATAGCACATACAAGGGAAAAATCAGCACAAAACCCCCAATAGAAAGGAATGACATGTTTTTAGGTCAAATTAAATTACCAGTTCTAGTCCAGCTAGTACATCACTGAGTCCTGGTGGCTGGCCAATCCAGCGGATTACCCCATAGAAAGGAGGGTTTTCTTTAACTTCAGCCAGCGATCCTACTTCCAGACCATGTGAGTTACCAGAGGAAAGGGCCAAGGGTGGACTTTCCTGGACAGGTGCATTGTTTAGTTCTCCCATCACGGACTGAACGGACAGAGAAAGTGGGCTGTGGCCAATGCTTCCATTGGTATTGGGCAGCTTTGTCAGGCTGAAGGGTAGAGAGTGAAACCGGTTCTCACTGGATAAGGAGTTCATGGAAGGAGGCTGCAGAGGTGGTGAAGACTGTCCAAAGTCTGGAGAAAGCTCTGTAAGTGATTTTGCAGGGTCTTCAGCAACTATAAAATAATTATGTTTAATAAGAAAAATGTACAAGTGTCCCTTCATATCCGTGGAGGATTGATCCCAGGACCCCCTATAGATACCAAAAACCACAGAAGCTCAAGTCCCTTATATATAATGGAATAGTATTTGCATATAACCTACGGTCATCCTCCGAAATACTTTAAATCATCTCTTGAATATTTACAGTAATAAATACAATATTGTTGTTATGTGCCGTCGAGTCAGTTCTGACCCACAGCAACCCTGTATAAAGTTTCCAAGGAGCAACTGGTGAACTTGAACCATCAACCTTGCGGTTCAAACCGACTGTGCAGTCCAGTGCATTAACCCACAGCACCACATCAGAACTCCAAATGTAATATAAACACTGTAAATATAGCATATTATATATTCCCTCTTAGCCTTGGAAGGATTGATTTGACTACTTGCTTCTCCTTTTTTTCTGAATATTGTTTTATTTGCAGTTGGTGGAACCTGAGGTCATACCAACTGTATTTAAGAATATTAAATACGTACTACTTCTCTAAACATTAATACATATGTCTATCCCAACTACCCCCATTCACGACATCTCTACTAATAGTCCTACAGTTATGCTAAACTTAACTCCAGAAATGATATTCTTGATTTTCTCCTCTTATCTCAGAATTTTTCTACCTCAGTAAATGGCAACCAATTGTTCAAGCCCCCCAAACTATCTATTACTAATTGGTATCAATAGACAATATTCTTTGTCCACAGTATAATTAGTTATAAATCAGTACCAAAAGAAACCAAAAACTTAAGAAACATCCTTTTAAATAATCATGGATTAAAAATAAATGTTAATATAAACTTTTAAAATATAAGAATAAGAGAAAAGAAGAGAAAGGGAAAGATGAAAAGAAGGAGGAAGGAGGATAGAGAGAGAAGGGAGAAAATGAGAGAGAGAAACAGAAAATTTGTGGAATACGCACGGCCAAAGTAATACACATAAAGGAAATTAATAGACTTGCTAGTTTATTTTAGAAGGAAATAAAACATTAATGAACTAAGCATTCAATTTTGGAAGTTAAAATAAAGTAAGAATAACCTCCCCAAAAATGGGCAAAAGAAAAGAAAAAAAACAAAAACAGAAAATATGAGCATACAAACACAGTAAGAAAACCAAAGCCTATAGCTGCTTCCTTAAAATGACAAAGAAAGTTGTGGATGTGTTTTAACCTACAAATTAAATGAATGCATACGCTAGCCTAAAAGTCTTCTTCACAGACTCCTACAGTACTCTTAGGACTCCTGGTGTGGTGCTGTAGGATCAGCACTAGACTGCGTGAACCACAAGTCAACAGTTCAAACCCAACAGCTGCTCCTTGGAACCTACTCAATGTCACTTAACAACAACAACACAGTACTCTTAAATTCTTATCTTCATTTAATTTGCAAACAATTATTAAACCTAAGTCCTGTGCTGTTGTTGTTGTTGTTGTTGTGAAGTGCCTTCAAGTCGGTCCCGACCCATAGCGACCCTGTACAGGGTTTCCGAGGGTGTAAATCCTGTGCTAAGCACTAAGAATTCATCCTTTGGCAGAGGACATTGGCAAATAAACAAAACAGTTGTCACTTAACCTAACCTAGGAGAAGTGGGAAAGGAAAGGTTTCTGGGTAAGCAAATACCTAATATGAAATTCAAGAGATGCACATAAGTAAGCTCGACCATTAAGTAAGGAGGTGGGGAGCGCAAGTAGAAGGATTTCCAGGTAGTAAGAACACCGTGGTAGAGTCCTGGTGTGGCGCTGTGGGTTAAAACGCTGGGCTGCAGAGCTGGTTTAAACCACAAGGATGGCTGTTCAAGCTCATCAGTTGCTCCTTGGAAACCCTATTCAGGATCGCTATATGGGTCAGAACCAACTCGGCAGCACTTAACAACAACAGCAACAAGGAACAACTTGAATGGAGTCCTGGTACTGTGCTTTAGGATAAGCACTGGGCTGCCAACCACAAGGTCGGCTGTTTAAACCCACCAGCTGCTCCTCAGAAAACTTATACAGGGTCGCTATGAGTTGGATCCAATTCAACAGCACTTACCAACAACAGGAACAACGTGTGCAAAAAAAGAAAAAACATGGAATATTCCAAGAATGGTGGTGGTAGTGTTGGTTCCAACTCATAGTGAGGCTGTATGTGGTTTCCGAGGCTGTAAATATTTACAGGAGTAGAAAGCTTCATCTTTTTCCCATGGAATAGCAGGTCGTTTTTGAATTGTTGATTTGTGGTTAGCAGCCCAACTCATAATCACTATGCTACTCCAAGAATAGCCCACTCCAGTATACAAGAGTAGGGGTTGAAAGTGAACATGGCAGAGAAGAGCAAGACGTCATGTCATAAAGAGTCCGGCATGCCAATAATAAAATATGGGCAAAGGCTAAGTAAGAATTATAGCTACTAAGCAAAGGAGAGACATGTGCATTGTGAAGGAAAACATAGGTGGTGACTAAACTGTTGAGCATTGCTATCAAACAGATCTGGGTTGAAACACTGGCTCCACTATTTACTAGCTGAATAACCTGGAACAAATTGTTTTAACTTCTGCAACAAAAGAGAAAATTAAAATATCTACCCCGTCTGGTTGTTACAAAGATAAAATGATACATACACAGCACTTGACAAGTGCCATTGAGTCTATTCCAACCCATAGTAACCCTGTGTAGGGTTTCTAAGGAGCAGCTGGTGAGCTTGAATTGCCGACCTCGCATTCAAACAGCTTTGCAGTCTGACACATTAACCTACAGCGCCACACCAGCACTTAGTATGTAGTAAATTTTTAAGAAATGTTAGCTACACTGATGAGAATGACAATGACTGCTATAATTGTTCAGAATAAACTTAAAAAGAACAATGCTTAACACAGAGAAACCCCTTAGGAGACCACTGTATTAATCCAGACAGGAACAAAGGATCTGAACTAAAGCCATGGTTACAGAACTGAAGAAGAGGAGAATGATTTTAGGGATATTAAAGAGGTGAAAAGGCAGAAGCTTGGTGACAATGGGGTGTGACTAACAAGAGAGGAGAAATCCACCATGCAGCCTAAGACAGAAGCTGGACTTGTCTCTATTTCTCATTACATACTCTCAGAATACGCCAGTCTGGCTTCTGACAAAATTCCTTTACCCAAACAGACTTCCAAATAGCTAAATTAACGGGCTATGAGTAGTCTTCATCTTGCTTGCCCTTTCAGGAGTCAATGTTAATGTCTACCCTATCTCTAGGCTTCTACAGTCTCCTAGTTTTTCCCCATTTTTATTTTTCTCTAGTCTCCCTTGAAGGCTTACTCTCCTCTCAGCCCAGTCTTTAAAATTCCTCAAGGCTCAGTATTAAGCTGAGACAACTTCCACCTCACACACTCTCTCCCTTACCTGCTACTATCACTTCTTTAGTCATCACATACATGCAGATGGCCTACAAATTTATTTTTCCAGCTCTCACCTCTCTTCTAAGCTCTAAATCTGTATATTGACCACACAGGACAACCCTCTAGGAAGTTTAAAAGGCTCCTTCAAGTCAACATTTTAAAAATCAAATTAATAATCTATCCACAACCACAGAAGGATATGGGACAGAAACCAGGAGGCAGCCTTGCCATCCCCCACTTCCATAACTCTAACTTTCAACCAATCTGTGACTCTTGCCAATTTACTTCATAATGTCTTATCTCCATCTCTCGTCTGCCACAAGCTAGTCCCTGCTATCACCAAGCGCAGCAACAACTTTCAGTGGTACTCTTGAAATCACAAGGTCTCTATTGATCCAATCCAATGGCCAACTCCAGTCATGTTGTGTCACCCCCTGCTGAAAAACCCTTCAGTAGTTTCACATTACCTTTTAGTAGGGCACACCAAGCTCCACAGCCTAGCTCTGTTGGCCTTTCCAATCCATCTCAGAAAACTGCTCTCTCGGTTCTAGCTACTTGGGCCTCTTTCTTGTTCTTAGCACACACCAGGCTTTATTTTCCCAGCAGGCTTTTACACATGCTAAGAAAGTGCTTTTTCAATTCTATTATCTTTCGATTCCATTTTTCAACATACTTTTTGAAGTCCTCCCATATTCCTTCTGTCTAAATGTTCTTCTGTCCCCTTCCACTTTGTCATCTCTTACTGCTCTGGTAAACGCAAGATGATGTGACTCCCTAAGAGAAACTTCCCTGAGCACCATGAGTAAAATCACCCTTTCATATGTTCCCATAGCACCATGTGCCTCCCCTTCATTGCACTTACCACAACTGCAAGTATATAATCACTTCTGTGATTGCTTGGTTAAGTCCCACCTGAATAACTTGATCATCACCTCAAAAAGGACAAGGACAATGTCTATTTTCCTTTCATCATTATAACCTTGGTGTCTAGAAGAATGTCTGGCACATAGTAAGCCTTCAATAAATATTTGCTAAATGAAAAAACAAAGAGTAAACTAGAAGAAAATGATACCCCAAAACCAAGAGAAGATAGACTTTCAAACAGTGCTGTAAAGAGGTCAAGAGCCAGACAGAAAAGTCTTTGAATGATTCACTTGATTCTAGAGATCTTCCACCACAAACAGATTAGTTAAGGAAAGAGGACAAACTGCTAATAAATCTTTTTAAATACTTTGTTAATCTTAAAATCAATATAGTGCAAGTTGCATACAATATTTTGCTCAGCAAAATAGGTAGTCCCTGACTTACTAGCATTCAAATTGCAAAAAGGGCATTTATAATTGCCCACTTTTTAGCTGTTTTTGTTGCTTTTTAAAATCTTATCATTATATAGTATTAAAATTTAACTGTAGGTTTATATGTAATGCTTCTAACCCCAAAGACAAATAAAAATTGGACTTTTAAAAACACTATTAATAAAATCTCTCTGGTAGCGTAGTGGTTACGAATCGGGCTGTGAACCTTAAGGTCAGCAGTTTGAAACTACCAGCCGCTCCGCGGGAGAAAGATGAGGCTTTCTGCTCCCGTAAGGATTTACACCCTCGGTAACCTTGTACAGGGTCGCTATGGGTCGGAACCAACTCGTCAGCACTTAACAACAACAACCACAACAATTAATAAAAGGCAATAATAATGTTATTGTTTTAAAAGGAGATATTTGACTTAATGTCACAACTGACTTATGACAGTCTTTGGAAACACTGTCATAAGCTAGGAACTACCTGTATTAATAAAAAAAAAATGGCCTACTTACTCTGTTTCTGAAAACTATAAATATTGGTGAAAACAAATATTATTCATTGGTGAGTCACATAGAGAAGCTCAATATAAAGAATAATTATACTATAGATTACCTTGATCAATGTACCATGTGTTTTTTGATTTGGATTGTGGTTGTGAATCAACAGAAGACCCATTTAAGGTATAAAATAATTCAGATCTGCTTCTATTTCCAGGGTCTGAGGTAGATCCTATGGAACAAAACAAAAAGTTTCTTTAAAAAATAAAATCAAAATGATATGAAAACATTTTTAATTTTAAAAATTAATGTACATATGGTGTCAACAACTGCTTATACAACCAATAAATAGACAAACAATATATTTTATTGAAAGTTTTTTCCAGATTTTGGTAATGTCAAAAAGATTTTTCAGCCCAAGAGTCGATATAGGAGGGGGACAGGAATAAGTTAAAAGTGCAATCATTTTTGTTTTCCTTTTTTAATGAACTGCTCCTTTAGAAAAGTACTTCTATGTATACTAAGTACACTATGGCTTATCTCTAAATGTCAGAATTCTCTAATCTACTATCTTAAAACAGCTCCTTTCAGAAAAATGTAATCTTTAAAAGTTGTATACAATTTTATACACAAATTAAGTATTTAAAGATTTAAGATTAACCATTTAGGAATTATTGGTCATTAAATTCCTTACTTAATCCCTCATGTCTTTGACAAAGTAAAACACTATAACTTCTTATATACTGCTGTTGTTGTAAGTGCCTTCAAGTCAGTTCCAACTCACAGAGACCCTGTATAGGGTTTCCGAGCAACAGCCGGTGGGTTTGAACTTCTGACCTTGAGGTTATTATTCTACAGTACCATATATTTAAGTTATTAAATGTAAGCATTAGCATAGCTCATGTCATAGACATTTTTACAGCACTCTCTTGCTTTAGTACAATTAAGACACCATGCCAGTTGAGAACATTGGAGTCTACAGAACCCATATAAAATCTGATACTTTTTTATTTATATCAGGTAGCTCTATACTATGTACATATAACAAAGATCTGCTAAAACACAATTAGCACATGTCTTTAAAAGAATCTTTAGTCTTTATATATTTAAGTACCAATGGCAAGCTTGAGTTATTCTACACAGTTCTGATGTGGCACTGTAGGATAAGCACTAGATTGATAACTGCAAGGTTAGAGGTTCAAGCCCACCAGCAACTCTTCAGAAATCCTATATACAGTCACTATGAGTCAGAACCAACTCAACAGCACTTCACAATAACAACATACAGATTTAGAGGATAAAACTGAAAATACTATTGCTAACATACATGTTGTTGTTAAGTGTTATCAAGCTGGTTCCAATCCATAGCAACCCTATATAGGGTTTCTACGGAGCAATTGGTGAGCTTGAACCACCAACCTTGTGATTCAAACTGACTTTGCAATCTAGTACATTAACCCACAAAGCTACACCAGGCCTAACACCAGGATAATAGAAGAATTGAAGAAACATCTTCAAAGCATGTATAAAAGCCTGCTGGGAAAATGAAGCCTGGTGTGTGCCAAAAATGAGAAAGAATGAGAAAGAGGTCCAACTGAGACAGCAGCTTTCTGAGATGGATTAGAAAGGCCAACAAGGGCTAGGCTGTAGACACTGGTGTGCCCTACTGAAAGAGATATATAATATATACATCCTGCTTAAACATAAGTATCCCAGTACCCAAAGGTCACTCACACCCAAAAAAATTTGAAGTATAAATTCTTTCTAAGCAAGCCAAAATAATTTTGTTCACTAAACAGTTGAAAAAAATACTCTTCTAATGCTCCATCTGAGTTTACAAATATTCTTACAGGTTTTTTTCTTAATGAGCTGGTACAACTATCACCCTTTAAATATATCAAGAATATGAGAAGTAAGGACCCTTCCCCCAAATAAAAGCCCCAAACTTTACATGTATTATGAGGGAATGTCTAAAAGAAACAAAAATTTTTGCTTAGCAATTTGGAATTTAACTTGTGCTACTTCTCTGGTAGCGTAGTGGTTACGAATCCGGCTGCTAATCTCATGGTTAGCAGTTAGAAACTACCAGCCGTTCTGCAGGAGAAAGATGAGGCTTTCTGCTCCCATAAAGATTTACAGCCTCGGAACCAACTCCACAGCACTTAACATCAACAACAACTTCTAGTTAGCAAAATCATGTAAGTAATCTCTAGCATACTTTATCTAACAATGCTTTCCATATGATTATTTTATTCAATTGTTAACTAACCAAAAGTGGGGGGTGGGGGTGGAAGGGTTCTGAAACCAGTTAATTATGGGCTAGCAAAAGGTCCTCACATGAAACAATTTACTACAAAACACAGTTTAAGAATCTTGGTTTAAGCAATAACACCTATATAAAACTTCAGTTTAAAAAACTCAAAATGTTTGAAATATAAATGTCTACATGCATATATTAAGGACTGGTGGCTGTGTGCCATGGAGTCAGTTCTGACTTATAGTGACCCTGCACAGGGTTTCCAAGGCTGTAAATCTTTACAGGAGCAGAAAGCCTCATCTTTCTCCCGCAGAACAGCTGGTAGTTTTGAACTGCTGACTTTGAGGTTCGCAGCCCGATTCGTAACCACTATGCTATCAGAGCTCCTTATATTAAGGACTAGTACCTTTTAAACTTGTTTAATCCTATGACAAATTTGTTATACAAGTGAGTAAGGACTGTGTTTTCTATTAACTCATACCTGTAGCCTTTGGTTTATTATGACTGGAAGAACCCTTGTCTCCAACACCTCTGGACATAAACGCAACTTTGGGAGGTCTCCTTTCCTGTGTCACGCTGTCTGAAATAGTAACATGTTCTTAAAGATTAAAACAAATTATTAAAGAAGAAAAGTAACTAAAAATTAAACAACAAAAAAACACCTATCATAAAACAGCTGTATTTTCATAGTTTTACAAATTCTTAAAGGTCATCAAAAGTATTAATACCTCAAAAAAAGAAAAAAAAAATCAATATTGTACTTAAAAACATAATTTTTACATTTCCAAAATACATTTTCAACAAATGCTTTAATCACATAAAACGTTAACTATTTGTAGTCAATTTTACATGATATTTAAAATCCTACAAAGGAAACCTTATTCATACTTTTTTTGCAGTATTTACCAAGTTGGTATCACCAGAACATATCTAAGTATTATGAAGTGTTCCACACGCTAATAATTTACAAAATAGTGGGTTAAAGAAAGAAAAGCAGATTTCTTTACTGTATAACACACAGAACCTAATAAACTTATGTTGTTGTTGTTAAGTACCGTGGAGTCGGTTCCGACTCACACAGGGTTTCCAAGGCTGTAAATCTTTACGGGAGCAGAATGCCTCATCTTTCTTCCGTGGAACTGCTGGCAGTTTCGAACTACCGACCTTGAGGTTAGCAACCCGTTTCATAACCACTATGCTTATGATCACATTTTATGCTAATCTACCTACTATCTCAGATTAATACATTTCATGGAGCACAGTTTAGAAAAAACTTGTTTACTGTTTAGAATACACATTAGTTTTTAAAAACATACGTATGTTAACAAAGACATGTATACAAACATATACATACAAATAAGAAAAATATAAACAATTTTGTACAGATTAATGATACAGAAACCAAAGATATCTAACAATAATATTTTAAAGAAAAGCACTCCACACTTTTTTGAGCTGCATGTCTAAAAAAATGGGCAAAGTTGTTTTGATATGGGTGGTGGTTATCTGCCGTGGAGTCGGTTCCAACTCATAGCGCTCCTACGTAGGGTTTCCAACCTCTATAAACCTTAAAGTCTAGTAATGTTCACAGGCTATTAATTAAATACTGATTAAGCAAATGCAGTAAAGTCAGTCTGAACAGCTTTTCTCTGAAATATTCAACAACACATCCATGGAGTCTACACATGACACTTAGTATTCATACCTGATAAAGCTGTGTATCAGCAAAAAATGGTATCACCCACAATGTATTTTTGAGGACAGATAGAAAAAACAGGAAAATTTTTACATTTTAAACATATGGAAAAGGCCATTTTTTTTTTGGGGGGGGAGGGGGAGGAAACCATACTGAATTATATAGAAGTGATACTTGTTAACTGTTCCATAGTTGGATGGGGAGGAAAAAGCAGTGTTAGAATAATTTTCAACTTCTTAGAATATGATCAAATAGAGTATTATTTTAATTTAGAAATATACTGAATTACCACAATTTTACTCAAGTTATAAATATATATATATATATTAAAGCCTGTTATTAATTCTTTTATGATGTTATCATTCAGATACCTCCAGATATAACATATGACAGATTTTTATGGAAATAAAACTTATTAGTTATTGACAAAAGTTCTCAAGTAAACAGACTAAAGAAAAATAATCCCTATCACTAATAGTAATTAAATAGCATAAAAATACATTTGAAAAAAGAAGTGGCATTATGTGGCATTGTGGGTTAATACATGGACTGCAATGTGGATAATTTAAGCTCACCACCCGCTCCTCAGAAACCCTATACAGGGTCACTATGAGTCAGAAACAACTCAACAACAACTATAATATACATGTGCAGTATGGTTTGTTGTGATTATACAAAATGCAGCAAGTGTTTGGGTTTTTTTTACTGGTGCTGTTTTGCTCCCCCTTCTACCTTTGGGGGACTCTTTCTCTCCCTATATTACCCAAGAAGAGACAGCAACTGCTGCCATATAGTCAAG